AATAGCTAGGCGATAAATCGCTAGTCATTTACGAGTCGGAACCATAAATAAGGTCTGTACGACAAGGCTGTGCACCTAAATTGGATCCAATATGAGCATATGCGGGAGGTGACATACTAAACAGGCCTGTGCCAAATCTCTGGCCAAATCACAATCACCCTAGGTGCAGTTTTATGAGCTCAACATTATTCAATAACATATCGCATCATTGACAATTCACATAACCAAATATAACTAACCTGAGCTTACCTGAGCTTACCTGAGCGTCCACATCACCACATTTATATATATAAAGCATCATATACTAATTCATATACGAAAATATCATTTATATGCATGGCATTCAAGGCATACTTTCATTTAAACACATATTTCTGGGAAAATATCAAGTATATAAATATATACTAAAAACGGAAAGCCCACTCACTGGTATGTCGAAGGATCGTAGCCCCCGAGTCGCCCTTGAATGTGCTCGTCCTCGGGATAAGTCTCACCTATATGTGAATTAACTATAAAAACGTTATTTTAGAGCACATACACAAAACTAGCTAATAACTTCTCATACAGTGCTCAATTTTGGTATTTAAATATACCACAGTGACCTACACAACCTCAGGATCATCCCCAAATTTTTAGAATAATTTTTGGACCCCTCATGCGCCGGCAAGGGCACGGCCCTATGCGCCCCCATGTGCGGCCACATGACAAGCATACTGACGGCATCAGTCAACGCCGTCAGGAATATTCTAAGGAATATTCCATTAAAACCCAACGGTAAATGTTAAAAATGATTGACAGCGTTAGCATATTCCGTCAACCTTGACGGAAGATACTCATTTCTTCTCCGGTGAGTCGCTGGTCGCCGGCGACTTCGTTAGTTTTTGGGTAAAACTTTAAAACCACTATTCTCCTTCGTTTCTTCACCATTTTCCACAAAATTGGTACCAAAATGAAGCTAATAGCATGTAGAATCACGTTATACAAGTTTCAAGGCTTAAAATCTACTAGGTTTTTCTCGAGAAAGCTCGATAGTTCGGTTTACCTAGATATACGTCGATCTCAGCCCTCCGACGTCCAATTCCTTCCAACGAAGTACCCCGAGACTCGTGAGGACCTCCTTAAGCTTCCTATAAACAGGGGCGGAGCCACCAAGGGACTAGGGTAGTCCCCGGCCCATCCTGACTTAATCTGAGGTGTGAACCTCATGGAAGAAGATGAAGCAAACGACGTCGTTAAGCTGTTTTGATTTTAAATCTTTTTGGTTGTCTAATGAAACGATAAGTTTGGCAGGGGAGTTTTAAAAGAGAGATGCAATTTTAAATGGAAAAAGCAATCCCACTTCTGGTTCGATTCTCTCACCTAACAGTAATATACACCCTATAATTTTCTAAAGCAACCCACCTTCTTTATTTGCATACCTCTCCCCCTTTTCCTTCTTTTTCTACTTCTTTGTATTTTCTTTAGCCTTCCACAACCTACCTCTTACTTGGTTGTCTGGGTTTTTACATTTTTTTTCTTCTTAGTATTGAATTTAAGAGAATTTTTTCAGTTTTGTGAGGATTACACAAATTGCATATGTCAACATGTTTATATATATATATATATATATACATATATATACACACACATATTTGTGAAATGCCCCTCCTCATTCAGAATTCTGGCTCCACCACTGCCTATAAACTTCAAATTCCCTGAAACACAAGATTTCACATATGCATGAACAATGGCAAAATCGGAGCTAGGGTTTCCACGTGAAATCGAAGGTTCCCTTACCTCAAAATGGTATCTTTGAACTCGTATGGTCCTCACGAACACAATGATGATCTTAAAACCTTCGATCTACAAGGTTTGAAAGGGTTTCTGGGTTGGTCCGTACGAAGAAGGGAGAGAGAGAGTGAGAGTCTGAGAGAGAGAGAGCACGGGAAGGAGAGAGAGAGAAAAGGTGGGTGTGTGTGTGGTCCAAAAGTCACCAATCAAAACTAAAAGAAACACTTAGTTCTCATTGGGTCCAATAATAGAGGAATAATGCAAGTTTGAACCCCCTTAATATGCATAACACACACCACAATACTCACGTCCAAGGGTATAACTGTCATTTCATATCATCGAAAATTAAATATTCGGAACGGGCTGTGACAGAAAATCTCTAAGCTCTAGCCAAAATCTTCTTCTCAAATCTTGCGTACGTACTAGAAAAACCCTAAGTCAGCCAAAAGGCTTATTTATATTACTCTCAACAAAATCCTCCTAGTAAAATGTCTTAGAATCAAACTAGGAAACCAAATAAATTGAAATAAAATAGGAAACATAATCTAAAATTAACTTGGTAAATTCGCACAAAAATCTGCACAGCCACGTTTTGGACCCATAACAGCTCCAAAACTCGCCCAAAGTAGTTGGATTTAAAGCTTGGGCTATTCTGAACACTTCTCCAGAAGGCCGCAAACCCATCTGAGATCATCTTAGGCTCCAAAAACGTAGTTTAAACCTAGAAATGTCATTTTCCAACAACGCGCACTGCTTCTTTAATAAATTGTCAGAAAATAACAGCTTGGTAGAAAAATCCCAAATTTTGACACGAACAAGCCAAGAGATACATGAACGTCCTCCAATTTGAATCACTCCAAAATTCGTCCGTTTGATCATGTTTTACTCCAGAGGAAGTCGAATATCCTATATTGAAAATATAAAGCAAAGTATCAAAATTCTACCAAAATAATTACCAAATTATTCTAAGAATAGGGTAAAATATATAATATAATATTGACTCATCAGCTTACATCATCATTAAATTAAACAATTATTTGATCAGTTAATATATGGTGAGGGTGAGCTAGCTATTGCCTATTGGGTCCAAGCCACATGTATATTTGTGTATTTGAGAATATTACTTATGTAAAGGTTTTCATCTCAAGTATCAAGTGGTTAAGAATTATTATCTTTACGTTCAGATTCAAGATTCATTTGAATGTTTTTAAATTGTAATTTTGCAACATTTGGTAATGGTGAATTCGAATTTCAAACCCATTTATAGTGAAATCGTATGTCTAGACACCTTAAACCCTTGTATTATTTTGTTGAGGACGATGTACAAGAACGTATCGAATACAAGGTATTCCTCCTGTCGTCATAGAAAGGGTCAACAAAAACCAAAATTAAGTACATAACCTATTGAGAGTAAGGTCATCAAATCGGCAGTTTGTATACAAGATTTGGAATTGAGTGTAGTTGCCTTAATAGTAGGTCATTGTGTGTGACCAACACTCCCACTAGAACCTAGAAAGTACAAGCTCACTCCAGCAGTAGCATTTAACAAGAACAACATGTATAAAATGAGTTTATCACTATGCGGCATTCAGATTCAATAATATGTGAATGAAAAATTACACACGACATTTAATTATTGGATTAAGAATCAGTGACGACCTGTTTCATATGAATTATTCTCAGAGAAAATTTGATTCCTCCCCCAATAAAAGAAAAGTAATTAAACATTTTATATTCACAACGGGCACAAGAGTCATAGAGATAATGTTTATTAGTATCTATCATAAACAATCAAGTTTTTGTTTTGGGTTTGGAACCCTTAAACTAAGCTTAATTTGTAAGTTTTCACAAGCGACATGATCGAAAAAAACAAAATATCACCCAAGTGTAAAGTAGAAAGCTTCTTAGACTACTTGGAGGAGGTGTCAAATGGGGATTTGCTCTGCCAAGTTGGAAGCGATTCAAGGCATAAATATTACAATAATAAACCATACTAAGACAAAAAGTTAAAGCAACAAATCATGTTTAATAGACAAAAACAGGTGAAAATTGCATATTTTGCATTAAAAAAAACAAATACTTGTAATTCAGTTGTTTACTAGTATTCACTCTTCTATTAAAAGTTTCAAGTACGAATTCCTCTTTTTCCAATATCATTTTAATTAATTTGATTTGATATTCTCTTGCCCTTTCATTTTTGTGTCAATTAACTACTGTTTTCTAGTTACATACTCTAACCTGCTACATAATTATACAATAACTGTAATTACTGGTTAAGTAAATTGTGTGACAACGACAATGTAACAACATAATATCAGCAATATCTCAATAGTCATAATGTTCTAAATTTTTATTTTGTATAAACAGGTTTTGGTGTTTGATCATTTTTATTAAAAAAAAACATATCAAATTTCACTACATTATGTGACTCATATTCACATTCTTTGGAATTGTACATCTAAAAAGGGGTTTTAAGATTCAATGTATACATTTCCACAAACTTGATTTTCTATTTTTATAAAAAAAAAAAAAAAGGGAATTATTATTGGCACTTCAAAAATCTCATTTTGTATTCTAAACTTTCTATAATTAGTAAGAAAATTTCACTTATGAGGAGTGTAGAATGAGATTTTTGAAGTGCTAATAATAGTTCCCAAAAAATAAATAAATAAAACTTCTAAAAACAATGAATCTTAAAAAAGGAATGCGACTCAGTACTACGGTCTAATGGTATTTCTCTTCACTTGGAAGTGAAAGCTCTTAGATTCGAATTTTATGGATGGCGAATTCGATACCAAATTAGGCTGCCCATTGTGTAGGTTTGACGAACTCTCCTCCTCTTAGTGTAAAAGTATCGATATACTAAAAAAAAAAAAAGGATTTTAACAATAAAACATCCCAAAACATTTAACAAATGTCTATCTAATACAAGATACAGATTCATGCTCGTTGTAGGAAAATAAATAATAAATAAATAAATAATTATAGGGTGAAAATTGAAATAAAAAAATAAAAAGAGGTATTCCACAAAAGGTTGATATCTTCTGAAAATGGAAATCCAGGTCAGACCAACCACGTGTCGGATACCAAATGAACGGTCCGGATCATCCACCTCAACTCATCCGACGCCCGTAAGGCCGTCGGTGCACACTCAACACTTATCGGCAAACAACGGTCCACATTCGTCCACGTGACCACCGGATAGGCGTTATTAACTCCATGATCCAACGGACCCAACTCACTCGCTCCCAAACCCAGCCCCCTCTCTCGTCGAAATTTCTCATATTCCAAAGCTCCGATTTTACAAATTTCCAAATTTTTTGGAATCTCTGTTTTTTTTCTTCAAATTCTCCAAGCAAAAATATTTCCAATTTGTTCAAAAATCCAAGCTCCAATTGCAATTTCTGGAAATTTCAGCTCGAAATTTCGATTTTTAGCGATTTTGATCGGGGACTACAGTATGTGAAGTCAACTTTGTATCATTTTTGTACCGATATTACTACAAGAAGCTTGAAAATTATCATCAATGGCGGACTCGGACAACGACTCGGGAGGAGCGCACGGGAAGAGCGAGCTCTCGCCGCGGGAACAGGACCGGTTGCTGCCGATAGCGAACGTGAGCCGGATCATGAAGAAGGCGCTGCCGGCGAATGCGAAGATCTCGAAAGACGCGAAGGAGACGGTGCAGGAATGCGTGTCGGAGTTCATAAGCTTCATTACCGGGGAGGCCTCCGACAAGTGTCAGAGGGAGAAGAGGAAGACGATCAACGGCGACGATTTGCTCTGGGCGATGACGACGTTAGGGTTCGAGGAGTACGTGGAGCCTCTGAAGGTTTACTTGCAGAGGTTTAGGGAGATGGAAGGGGAGAAGAGCAGCGTGGCGGCGCGTGACAAGGACGGGAGCGGTGGCGGAATCGGTGGGGTTGGGTATGAGCGGGGTGGTGGTGGTGGTGGTGGGAGTAGTGGTGGAGCTGGGGTATATTGGCAGCAGCAGCATCAGGGCCACGTGTACGGAGGGAGTGGGTTCCATCAGATGGGTGTGAGTGGAGTTGGAATGGGGAAGAGTGGGCCTGGATCCAACATGGGTAGGCCCAGATGATTATAATGGATTGAGCTCTCTGCTGCTGCTCCTGGTGGCTATTTGCTTCAGGGATGTTTTTGTAATTTGATTGCTAATTATTTTGCTTAAAAGTGTTTTAATTTAAGGACTGTCACAGTGTATGCGTATGTAAACTCCTACTTGTTATTCATACCGCTTTTTGGAGAAGTGTTTTACTTTTACTTGTCACTATAATTAGTTTGTAATTTTGGATTATTAATTGAAAGAGAGAAACTATTCTCACCGTCAGTGCCGAGTTTTATGTAGATCTATAATTAGTCAAGTTGGCTCGAGTTGTATGCTATTTAGATCTAGAAAAATTTCATTCGGACCAAACATTTCTCTTTCAAAACCAACTTATATTATTTTATTTTGAAATTCCTGTTTTACCCCATATACTAAATGGGTTTAGAAAGAAAAAGCAAAACACACCCTATATTAGTGAAAATACCTCTCATTACCCCATTCACACCCCACCACGAAAACACCCCCTCTCCAATCACCGACCGAAACTCTTTGTCATTCCTATTGAATGATTTAAACTCATTGACTTTCATCAACCTCAAATTTTATGAAAAGGGAGAATGAACAACTAGGATTTTGCACACATGCTCATTGATTGAGATTAAACAAATTGGCTCAATTAGATGATATCCCTTAATTGATTTATCATTATGCTGTTGAAGTATTGCTTCCATATTATAGTGCCGTGTATTAAAAAATGCGCCTCGAGACGCACCTAGGCAGCTTTAGAGGCGGGGTGACCATAAAATCGCATATGCCTAGCAGGATTAGGCGAAAACTTGCTTAGGCGTGGTTGAGGCACTCATAGGCGGTTGAGGGGGGCCTCAAGGCGTTCGAATGGCATCCTTTTTCTTTCTTAAGTTGCAGAATTCAGAATTTTTTTAGTTGCAGAGCTTGACCGCCCAGGGAAGAAGATGAAGAAGATTAGAAGGTTTTTTCTTCCTAACTTTTCGTTTTTTTCTTCTTTTTTTTATGCTTTTTTCTCTTTTAAAATTTAAAGTGACCCCATCTTACTGACATTTATTACCCTACTATTTTTTTTTCTGTTCACTTTTTATTTTTATCTTATTTTAAATTTCAAAGACAAGATAGATAGATAAGCATATTTTTATTTTTGTTAATGCTTTTATTCTTTTTTAAGAAAAATAAGCATCTTTGCAAGTGGTCATTTACTACAGTGGTGAAGAGGTGTTCAGCTCTTGCATGACGGTGCGAAGCCCGACGATGATTAATTTAACGTTTAACATACAAAGTTTATAGTTTGACAAAAAAAAAAATAGATAAGCATCTTTTCCTAGATATTCTCATAACAACCTAGCAGGAAAAATTAAAGGTCTTTTACAGTTTTTTAACGTTATATTATTCTTTTCTCAAAAGATATATTATATTATTCTTATTTCTCTTTTCTAAGACTACGTATCACACCGCCACTCACTACTACGGTCTGGTGGTATTCCTCTTCATTTAGAAGTGAGAGGTCTTAGGTTCGAATCTTGTGAATGGCGAATTTGATACCAAATTAGGCTGTCCATCGTGTGACTTAGCCGAACTCTCCTTCCCCGTAATGTAAAAATATCGATGTACTAAAAAAAAAAAAAAAAACTACATATCACACCAAAATATTACTCAAAACTCTCATATAAATAGGCCTCACGCCTCAAGACTTTCGCCTAGACGAGGCTATCCATGAAACGTTTCACCCGCACCTTTGCCTTTTAAAACATTATTATGGTGGGATGAGATTTGGTTCTTTGATTGTGGGTGGTAGGGAAGGTGCAAGCGGCGTGGCTGGGTGCTTGGTGAGGGGGCGAACAACATTGGGTGTCTTTGGGTTTGGAGAGGTAGGGGTGGATGTTGGTGGTAACTTTGGCTGGGTTTCTTTTTCATTTTCTTCTTTTTCTTAAAACAGAAATTTCAAAGTAATAAAAATTATAAATTGGGTTTAGAAAAGAGAAATTTTGGGTCCAAATAAAATTTTCCTTTTACCTAAGTTCGAATCTCCCTCCTTGTAGTATGGATGAATTTAGCGTACTTATCCTATCATTTGTATATAAAAAATAAAAAAATAAAAACATTCTATGATTTGTATCCCAAATTATGATGACTGGGTTACCCACCTTGTCTAATTTCTGTTTGCGTTCGAAAGAAAAGAAAAAAAAATTGATGATTTGGTTGACGATACAAGTCTTACAAGTCTTGATTGCCCACTTTGGTCTAATTGGGTTGAAGCTCATCTGCTCCCTCCCTTCCTTCCATGGGTTCAATCCCCTGGCCTTTGTACGTGGTTAGGATTGAAAACCCACCAAACGGAGGACATTTCATGTCCTCTTCCAACTTCCAACCGAATAGGGGACTTATATAACACAAGTTCACCACCACAATGACGTCTTGTGCAAATGAAATGAAGACACGTAGAGATGTCTTTTGTCCACAAGAATTTACTTCACTGACCCGGAACGCCACTTGGTGGTGAACCCATGCCATATGAGTTATTCTCCACCAAACGAGCGGAATACCCACTCCTTTCACTAACCCCACTCATAATTTTCGGACGATACGCGTCCAGCAGGGGTCTATACTTGAACAAACTATCATGTTCATATTCAAGAAAGGAGGAAGGTAAGAGTAGAACCAAATTCCATGCAGACAGAAATTAAGAAAAACTTTGAAGACGGGGGAGACGCATGTATGAAAATGAATGAATTCACTATGTACAAGATAGCATACACCAGCTTTTCGTTACGTACACGATGCCGCCGACCATACAATTCTATTTCTAAAAGGTCTAAAAACAATTACTACAAATGAAGGGTTAGTTTTCTACATCTTCACAAAATTTGGCACAAACAACAGCATTGGAGGTATACACCCAAACCCAAAACAAAAAATGGGAAAGATACAACCGGACCAAGGCATATTAGCAACATCGTCTGCTATGTCCTATTACAACAGTCAAATATTAGGTTACAAATTAATCTCCCACATAGACTTGGGCAATTTCAAGCGACAACAATATCCACAAATCTCTTTCGATCAAGTGCTAATTAACTGAAAAACATAAACGCAAAACGAAAGCTAAAACTAAAAGCAAAGTGTTCAGCTTCTAAGTCCAGGTAGTGGCGGGGAAACGCCGTGCATCGTCTCTTCATTGTAGATGTTCGAGGTCCTTCTTTATCTCCACGGAAACTCTGAGTTCTACTTAACAGCTTCAATTCTCACGGTAGAGTGTCCTTCAAACTATTAGACAGTGAAACAGGTGAGAGTAAATATCTACAATTACCAAGCCAGCAGTAAACTTAACATACTCTACCATCAACAAAGCACTAAAATCAAGTGATAAAAGGTCCAGTGCTTGTATGGAGAATGTAGTATACAGTAAAAACCAACGCATAAATAAGTTTAGCAAAAAGCAACCACATCCTCAAAATCCTAGGATGCCCCCCAGGCAGCTCAATCACAACAGCAAGGGAACTATTAGGTCCTATAGATTGGTTGGCCATACTAATCATCTACAAACTGCACCGACAATAAATGACAGATTTCCAAATCACCAGGATTGGTGACATGGCTGCTGAAGGAAAGGCAATATAGAACAGCACAGGTAACATAGATAACACCTCTAGTTAATCTAAAAATATTATGACAACATCATCCATCAAACCCTGTCCAAGTATGATTCCAGGTCACAGTTATCTGTTTGATTGTTTTATTTTTACTTTTGATCACCAGTGTGTTCAAAAATGCTAAGCAACCTTCAAATTTGGAAAGTCATTTGATAGGTCAAAGTCATCAGTGATTACCATCGCAATTGATACTATAATTATATTAGACAACTAAATAAAAACCATGGATACCTTTACATTTAGGGTACTGTCCACTAGCCAGATAAAGCCATTAATCAAGTGGAATCATGTCTAAATGCAATCCTAATTTATAGTCAAACAAAGGAGATACCAAACTGTATCATACCCATATAAGCAGAATTTTAAATGTGGTCATTGTGGGTTCAATTCGACCACAAAGCAAAGTCAACAGATAAACGACAATGAGAGACTTCCATGTCATACAATACCATGGTTTGAAAAAGCACAAATTCATGGAACAATACATAATCAAAGGTTGAGAGCTTGGTGTAGAGCTGTACCATTTAGATATTAATTGTAAGAGTATCTTAAGGCATCATGTTAAGCCCAAATGACAAACATAGCAATAAAAATAAAATTGCACTAAAAATCATGTAAACTACAGATCTAAGAATTTAACAAACATGACTAAACAACAGTAAGAAGTAATCAGAACAAGGACATAAAAACCTCCCAGAACAAATAAAATAAGCACCAAAATATGAGATATAGACAGAATAAAAGAAGATGATCATGTACAACAACAATAAAAGAATCCAAATTCACGGTAAATCACAGAAGTTCACAGATTAACACAGAAGCAGATAAAGAAATCTACGAGAAGAGGATGCCATTGGTGAATCAATTCTGGACCACCTATCACGATTTCTGTCCCGTTCTCGACTAACATCAACATCATCACGATACCTTCTTTCAGATAAGTCATGGTCATGAGCCACCTCCTTCTCTCTAGGCACATCTCTCTCATATCCCTGATCTCTATCATCCCGATACCTTCTATCAGAAGATCCAGACCAGTCCCTCTCTGAACCTCTATCTTTCTCCTTCATGGCATTTGGCCATGCACCTCCTCTATCATGACTAGCCTCACCATATTGATGGTCAGAAGCAGCTTCCTCACCATAACTAGACTCCCCAACTCTGCCACCACCATGCTCTTCACCAGCCCATCCACCCATATTAGGATCGGACCACATCCCCATATTAGGCCCATCAACACCTGATGTGGGCATCATTCCCATTCCATTCATGGGCATTCCTCTTCCAAAAAATGCAGGATTCACATGAGGGGCTACTCCAGGTAGCCCAACACCCCCAGGTGGAAATGAAGACAAAATTCCTGAGAAAGGAGGCGTAGGAGCACCAGGAAAGCCTCCATAATTTCCCATTCTCCCCATTGGAGCACCAAAAGCAGGATCAAAACCCTGACCCATCATTGACTGAGGGTGCATCATAGGAGGGGTTGCACCAATACCTTGCCCAAACCCATTTCCACCATTACTCATTATACCCCTTCCAATCACACCCCTATTCCTTGGACCAACTGGTCCTCTATTTCCCATACCCTGAGAATTACCTCTCCCCCAGTTACCTCTCCCATAACCTCTATTACTCTCCCCACCTTGATAATTCCCGCCAGTCGCAATGTTACTCCCACCAGTTTTATTCCCGGCTTCGTTGGGCCCCCTCCTCCCACCAGTTTGAGGTACTGCAGTTTGGGCAACCTGCTGGTTCCTATTTACTTGAGCCTCCCCCATTCTCTTAACACTGAATGGTGATGCAAACGCAACAACGCATGGCCGCCCATTAAACACATGCCCGTGCATCCCTTCCTTGCAGGCCGTGGCAGAATTAGGATTAAAAAACTCAACCTGACAGTACCCTTTTGACTTCCCACTTGCTTTCTCATCGAAAAACTTCACTTCCTTCACAGGTCCATACTTACACAACTCTGCCTCCAGCTCTGCATCCGTAGTCCACCAATGCAAATCACCCACAAACAATATTGTCCCAGCTCCACCACCAGCGGCACCACCAAATCCTCCTCCCGGACCACTATTCCCACCAATCCCATTCATATTACCACTTCCAACACCACCAGCTTGTCTCAACATGCCCTCATTCCCCATATTCCCAACAGCAGCAGCACCATGTAATTGTTGCTGTTGTGGTGGAGGTTGTGGTTGGTGGTGTTGTTGCAATTGGGGCAGCAGCTGCTGAGAAACAATCCCTTGAACCCCAACACCACTATTATTCCCACTTTGTTGCTCAAACTCATTCACCTTATTTGATGTTTGCCCTAATTCAACCCTAATCCCACCTCCTCCGCTGCCCCCAAGGGGCCCCAACCCACCACTCCCCTTCGCACTCATCTCGTTCCCTCTAAACCCAAGATTCTGATTATTATACCCAGAACCCCTAACCCCTCCATCACCCCCATCCCCACCAGTCCCCTCGCCGTTACCGCCCCCAACACCCGGTATCGGACCACCTTGAGATTCCGACGGCGCAACATCGGGTGACTCAACCGCAACCTTCTTCTCCTCCGCCACCTCATTCCTAAACCCTAAATCCTCGTTCTTTCTCATAGACTGATAAAACCCCTCGCCGACATTGACGTCGTTGTAAAGGTCCTCATAATCATCGTCCTCCTCGGCCAAAAATCCATCGTCGGCCACCGCCGAGATCGCCTCGTTGCGGTGGAACTGATCCATCTGATCGACCCCGTCGCCTTCATCCATTGGTTTTTCGTATCTTTCGAAGGTCTAGGGTTTTCTATATCTATTAGTTTCGGGTGGGCAGTGAAAGTTTTTGCAGAAATAAAAAAGTAAGCATATTTTTTCTGGAAACAAAGACGGAGAAAATAAAAGGGGGAAAATTAGGGTTCTGAGATCTTACCGGCGAAGAGAGAGAGAGAGTGAGTCTTGAGAGTTGGAGAAAGAAAACCCTAATCTCTGCGACTTTCTGGAAACTTGTGTGTGTGAGATGGAGAGAGAGAGAGTTTTGGCAAACCTTCTAAATTTCAAAGTCTCCGCCCCTCTATGTTTACGCCTCCGAACGTAATGCTTATGTTTTTGTTTTTACTTCTTTTGTTTTTCTTTTCAATTTTAATGATATTTTTTCAATTACGTGCTGTGCACTGTGACCAGGCCTCCTCTTTCGCTCTTTTAGAACAATTCCACTCCTTAAAAAAAAAACCAGCATCTAGCTCATTTAATCCATTCAGTGAAAAATGATAAATCACAATGAACAGTAATAGACCAAATGCATCTCCACCTTTAAAACTAAATACCATAGTCAATTTTATTAAAATATTATTAATTTTTATTATAAAATAATAATTTGATTTTTAATTTCTAACATGATCCCTTCCTCTTCTTCTTCCCACTTTTCTCAAAAGGGTCTCTCTTGGATTGCCAAAATCCCATGTGATTGTCTTTAAAGTGTGTTCTTCCTTACCACGATACAAAAGGCTCACCAAATTTTCCAATCAAATCATCCCTAAAAATCTGATCTTTCAATTCGATCCCTCACACTCTATCCCTAAATTTCACTTTTCCGGATCAAATGGAAAATCCCCAATCCAATTAGCTTCAAAATTCAGTAAAATTGAAAAAAAAATTTTGAAAAATATGTTGAGCTCAAACCAGTATTAAGCATCTCCCTCCGACGCCTCGTCGCCGCTTTTAGGCCACTCCATCACCGACAACATCGTTCGAAGCCGAAAACTTAATACGTCAGCCACCGCATCCTCTACGTGGAGTAGCTCGGTTCTTGTGAAGCCCAAGCAGCCGCTGAATGATGTTGCTAGAGCTGTCGGTTGGAGTCCGTGAGGCCGCGACGGAGTAGGTAAAGGATCGCCAAAGTGACTAGGCCTACTCCCGGCCGATTATCTTGTCGGACCTATTGTGGAACGTTGAGCTCTTGGGAATTGTCATCGGGGTGCTGTCACTGAGCTGGAAAGATGAGCCTTCTATGCCTTTGAGGACTTGGATTGGCGGGCACATTAGTGCCTAGTGCATATGGTCTGCATGGTCGTGGAGTGCAAGCGGAGGAGGCATGGTATCGCCTGGCATCATGTAGGCCGGGCAAGGGCTCAACACATTCTGAGCCGGCCTAGAAACCAACTTGGGCTGGGTGCCAGGCCAATAATTTAGCTGGGTGCCAGGCCAATAATTTGGCTGGGTGCCAGCCTAAAGGTTCCCTGGTAGAACTACTCTTAGGAGGGATGCACTTTGGGTGGATTAACCCAAATTTGTCCATGTGCAATTTTATTTCAAATTCAATCAAGAATGTTAGAATGAAGTAAAAATCCATTCAAATCTAATATGTCCTTAGTCCGAATGTTTATTAGGTTGCGTTGGGTTCATGGTTTGCCTGTCCATGTCAATCCCAAGCTCAATCTAATTTCTAGCCTGACTTGCTCATGCATATATTACCTGTCCCACTTCATAATATATAAGCTAGATACAAGTTTGGGAGGCTAGACTTGAAGTTTATTGTATGACTTTTATTCGAACAATAATGATAGGGCTACTTTTACGTTTCTTTTGGTTGAAATGGTGGTACTGTCTTGCCATTTAATTTCAACTTTGCTTGGTTGAAACGAATTTCTAAATTTGAGATTTATCTTATAAAATAATGTGTTACAAGATTGACTTTGATAAAGTTGGGCGAACCTGAAACCAACTCCAGTAAGCCTGAACCCGAATAAACCCGCATGAACCAAATCTGAATTAGAAATGTTGGATTAGGATTGGGTTGACCATCTAACCCACCGAACCTGCTCGAGTTGTACCCTTACCTTTTAGTCAGTCAAAAATAAAAAATTTCAAAATTTTTTAACTTTTAAGTTGTAATTGTTTTTCTTTCTGTTTTTTAATTTTCAATTTTAATTATCTTTTTTATCTATATTTTTATTTTTCTGTTAGGTATAACCATATAAGACCATCCAATCCTTATGTTAAAACCTAAAATTTAGGTTTCAAACCCCCAAAACTTTCTCCTACGGTTGGGCCTAAGATTAGTATTGGGTTAAACATTTTTGGGCAAATACTTGTCAAGACTTAGGCCTGGATTAATGGGGCTATGACACACCCCGACCGAGATCAAGGCATGATGGCCGTCACGTGAGAGTGACGTAGCCATGTGCACAGTGCGAAAGCGAAAAAGATAAGAAATATACAAATAATCAAAAACCAAATTACTAGAGTGCACTACTAAACAGAAAGTGATATGAGTTAATTACAACAGTAAACACTCTTATTCAGAGCATAAAAGTCTAGGTGCAGTCCAGTAGGACAAGTACTAGTTATACAATACTAGGAATGTCCTACTATTATTTAGATAAGTTAGAACAGCCGACGTCCTCGAGCCACCAACAGCAAGCTCACTTAAAACCTGGAGGGGCGCAAAACAGAAAACGTGAGTGGGCAAAAACAAATGCTTTACAAAATCATTTCATTTATTAATATACTAACCCATCGCTGCAAAACATGTATAATTTTCCTAGAATCAAGATATAAGTATATATATACATACATACATATATATATATATATATATATATATATATATTTGAAATCATAACAATTCAATTCATGCTTCACATAATCATATTCATGTGCATGCCGTGCCAAAATATAACAAAGTAAACAATCCAGGTAAGAATGATTTCATAGAAATATGATATGTTAGCCGGAACCCCTGTGGTAGTCTGTACGGCTGAATTCATAGCTCAAAAGTCAATCTAGCCGGAGTCATAATAATGACACATACGGCAATATACTGCACATAAGTCGGAATCACTAAAAAGGGGTTTGTATGACAAGATTGGGTGTAATATAGTTATGCTCAATTCTATTCTCTCATAATAGCTGGGCGATGAATCGCTAGTCACCTACAAGTCGGAACCATAAATAAGGTCTGTACGACAAGACTGTGCACTTAAGTTGGATCCAATATGAGCATATAGTGCGGGAGGTGACGTAAATAAACAAGCATGTACTTCATATCTCTGGCTAAATCACAATCACCCTAGGTGCAGTTTTATGAGCTCAACATTATTCAATCACATATCACATCATCGATGATTCACATAATCAAACATAACTTACCTGAACTTACCAGTGCCTTCACAGCACCACATTTATATATATATATGCAGCCATGAAATGCATATTCATAATATAAAAGTATTTGGCATATTATTTCAAAGCATACATTCCTTAAAAATGCATTTCTGGGAAATATATCAAGTATATAAATATATACTGAAACCAAAAGCCCACTCACTAGTATGTCAACGGATCGTAACCCCCGAGTCGCCCGTGGATACGCTCGTCCTCGGGATAAGTCTCAAATATATGCAAATTAACTATAAAAACGTTATTTTAAAGCACATATACAAAACTAGCTAATAACTTCTCATACAAAGCTCAATTTCGGTATTTGAATATACCAACATGACCTACGCAACCTCACGAACATCGTGATATTTTTAGAATAATTTTTTTGTGGCTCACGCGCCCTTACGCACCGGGGAAGGCATGGCCTCACGCGCCCTCATGCGCATCACCTTCAACCTCCAGACACCGGAATAATGCCATCGGCGCCAGATTCTGGGCAGACCTGCAACTGCCTATTTCTCGCTTATTTTTGCACCATTTTTCACTAATTTATACCAAAATGAAGCTTTTAACTAGTAGAACACAATCATACTAATTTAAAGTTCTAAATGTCACGGGATCTCACCGGAGAATTCCATGAAAACCGGCCAAACTTCGTCCGCACGATCCCGACGTCCAAAACCTTCAAACGAAGCACTCCGAGCTTCCTTAGGACCTCACTAAGCTTCCTACAAGCTTCAAATTCCCAAAAACATCCATAATCACGTGTGCATGAACAGTGCACAAATCGGGGGTTATGAAAATCTAGGGTTTTCGAAGGTATCCTTACCTGAAATAGGTACCAATCGACTCGTCTGAGCTTCACGAACACAATGGTGCCAACTTTGACCACGATCCGTGAAGTTTCAAGGGTTTTGGGTGATTGTCCGTACGATTTAGAAGGAGAGAGAGAGTGAGAGTCCGAGAGAGATGAGAGGGTACGGGAGAAAGAAGAGAGAGAGTGCGTGTGTGTGGCCTAGGATTGGTTAACCATCAAAAATACCATAACTTAATCCTAATTGGTTCTAAACAATTAGGATTTAAGAATATTGACCCAAAACCACACATAAACCACATTACACAACTAACGTCCAAGGGTATTTTCGTCAATTCACGCCATCGATAATTATATATTTGGGACAGGCTATGACAATCTCCCCACCTTAAAAAATTTTGTCCTCGAAATTATACATAACAAATACATCCACTAGCAATCATAAAACAAGCATGGATACATCTCTCTCATCCGATCATCTGTCTCCCAATTAGCTTCTTCCACTGAATGATTTCTCCATAGTACTTTCACTAAGCGCACAATCTTGTTCCTCAGTTCTTTGTCCTTCCAATCCAACAGAGTCATTGGCTCCTCATCATAACTCAAATTCGGATTAATTTCCAAAGGTTGAGAAGGAATCATATGTGAATGATCTGAAACATAATGTCGAAGCATCGAAACATGAAATACATTGTGCACTTTTGATAACTCTAGAGGCAACTCAAGCCTATAAGCAACCTCACCGACTCGCTCGGCGATCATATATGGTCCATTGAACCTAAGACTCAACTTTCCTTTCTTTCCAAATCGTACATCACCTTTCCAAGGTGATAGCTTCAGAAATACCCAATCACCTACATCATACTTCCGATCAGTGGCATGTTTTTCTGCTAAGCTCTTTTGTCGATCTTGGGCCGCTTTCAGGTTAGACTTAATTACCTGAACATTTTGAGTAGTCACATCCACAATCTCAGGGCCCACTAAAACTCTTTCGCCAACCCCTGACCAACATAGAGGCGTACGACAAGATTTCCCATAAAGTGCCTTAAATGGTACCATACCAATACTCGAATGATAACTATTGTTGTAGGCGAACTCCATCAAATCCAAACAATCATGC